AAACAACATGCATTGCTTTGCGCACCCCTATACCTCCCAGTCGTACTGGGAGGGTTGCCTGATCCCATTGCTGATCCTCTAGTGACAGGTTCAGTGCCTTCTTAAGGGTTGACCTTAGGTGTGCGTCATATTCGTCGAGTGTTGGGTTGTCAAAAGAGGGTGCACACCTCAGGAAGTAAGTGAGTCTTGGAATAGTAAGGCACCTTGTGAGGAGATACAGAGCATCATGGGCATCAAGATTGCTTATTCTCTCCTCCATTCTCATCAGGTCATTCAATTTGTCCTTGAGGACTGTGTCGATGGCCTGGTGACCCAGCGGTGCTCCCAAGAGGGTACTGTTGGACAGAGTGGTAGTAGAGACTTCTGGGAGGATTCTTCGCACAGCATTGATTATTTCCTGGTTTGCTGTGATGATTTCACACACTGTGTTTTCACCAGTTGTAGGTCCCCTACCAGGGACTCTTCAGTACCTGCCAGAGTGCCATCATCCAGGTACCAGATGTTGAACTCGCTGCGTAGGCTGGAAGTTAATTCTCTTACTGCCAAGCAGAAGAGAAGTGGAGCTAGTGGGTCACCCTGTTGAACACCTTCTGATGAGAGAATTTCATGTTCTCCAAACAAAAGAATTGAGGGTTTGCTGTAGCCGGCTGAAATGAAGGGAAAAAGACTGGGGAAGCGATCCCGAACAGCTGGCAAGACAGCATCTCTCTTTACCATATTATATATATATAATATATATATATATATATATATATATATATATATATATATATATATATATATATATATATATATATATATATATATATATATATATATATATTCAAAGCTACCCAAAGTTGTACCTGGGAGTTTGCTTTACTCATCTACAACTATAATGCCAAACCAGTACTTCGTACTTCTCTATATCCTTTCTAAATCAAAATTTGTTCAACTTGAATACACTGTTGCGAGTACTAACTTGGTTAGTTACTTTTCACCACGTTATATATATCCTCTTTATTTATTAATGTTCTCTACTTCAGTTTGTAATGGCTTGACACATCTGGAGAGCTAAACGTTGCCACATTAAAATCACATTAGTTGCATCCGTGTCCATTCCTAACATTATAGTTGTGACCGGGTGTGGACGTGTGAATTGCTCATTACTCTATAATTTGTTCATGATTGTAGCCATGTATAAACGTAAGTACATTTACTTATTTTCATGATTCATTACCTTTGTAACTTGTTAGTTCATTACCTTTGTACCTTGTTCAGCTATCAAAACTTTGGGGCTCAGTCCCTGGACCCATTATGTACCTCTGTAATCTATACATACCTTTGTATGGCCCGGTGGCCTGGTGGCTAAAGCTCTCGCTTCACACACGAAGGGCCCGGGTTCGATTCCCGGCGGGTGGAAACATTCGACACGTTTCCTTACACCTGTTGTCCTGTTCACCTAGCAGCAAATAGGTACCTGGGTGTTAGTCGACTGGTGTGGGTCGCATCCTGGGGGACCAGATTAAGGACCCCAATGGAAATAAGTTAGACAGTCCTCGATGACGCACTGACTTTCTTGGGTTATCCTGGGTGGCTAACCCTCCGGGGTTAAAAATCCGAACGAAATCTTATCTTATCTTATCTTGTAACTTGTCATGATTGTGACCAGATTTACCTGGAGTTCATTACCTTTGTAACTAGCTCTGCTATCAAAATTTTGGGACCCAGTCCCTGGACCCATTATGTACCTCTGTAATCTTTTGACTACCGCCCACAGGATGGATATGGGGTGCATAATAGCATATTAAACTAAATTCTACCATTATTACTACTTTCGTCTTGTTACATTCTCCATCTTTATTTAATGTAGCTTCAAAACTGTGGATAAAAGACACTTATGTGCAGTTCAGGACATTTATTAAAGGAAAGGTTTCACATTACCATTTCACATTACCATTTCTCAGTAGCGGCAAATTAATACATTTTCTTGCTTACAGGGTGACTGGGGCGGTGCACTGGTAAGCAAGGATGGGTTTGTGACAGGCTTGGCGTCATGGAGTGTGGGGTGCGGGCGCCCAGGCTACCCTGGCGTCTACACCAACGTCGACTCTGTGGTCGACTGGATCTGTGATGTCACCTCGTTTCTAAACGACGACAGACCCTACTCACTAGATGAGGACGACAGACAACACCATCAAGATAAGGACGACTAATGGTTCCATAAAGAAGAGAACGTCTGATGGTACCGTCAAGATGCTAGAAACGACAGACAGTGTCATCAAGATGACAGAAACGACACAGTGACATCAAGATGACAGAAACGACAGAGTACCATCAAGATGTCAGCACAACCAATTTAACGACGACACAATACACACCTTCACAATAAGATCTCAGCAAACACGGAACACATCGCAACATATTATTATATATAACAATGGGAAGAAATAATATATTACGTTTATATTTAACAATTATGAGCCGTATGAGTGAGACAAGTAGTGTAAGAAGCTTCGGCACTGGAGTCAATAAAAAATGCATTTTTTGTAATTAAACAATGTTTCTTGAGTAGCGTTTTGCTATATCCTTACGAGTAGTCAAAACACTGTAACGAACCAGACTGAAAGGACAAGGAAAACGAACAAACATTAATAATACATATGCATGAAAAACTATTAGTGAAAATGGGAATTAAAATCTGAACACTTTCATGTGTTGGCACAAAACTTAATTCCTGGAGTTTACCTGGAGAGAGTTCCGGGGGTCAACGCCCCCGCGGCCCGGTCTGTGACCAGGCCTCCAGGTGGATCAGAGCCTGATCAACCAGGCTGTTGCTGCTGGCTGCACGCAAACCAACGTACGAGCCACAGCCCGGCTGGTCAGGAACCGACTTTAGGTGCTTGTCCAGTGCCAGCTTGAAGACTGCCAGGGGTCTGTTGGTAATCCCCCTTATGTGTGCTGGGAGGCAGTTGAACAGTCTCGGGCCCCTGACACTTATTGTATGGTCTCTTAACGTGCTAGTGACACCCCTCTGAAGATGTGTGTAAGCACACGAAAGCCCTCAGGTTTTATTTCCTCTTTTTACTGTTTTTTTTTCATATTTGCAGTCACGCGTTTTATTGTGATTTCTTCCATTACATATACATTAGTATGCTGTATAGGTGATTATAATACTCTCTCTCTACACATTTATAAGCTGACCAAACAACCTTGGTATATATAAGAACATGAAAAAGGAACACTGCAACAGGCCTACTGGCCCATGTAACGCAGGTGCAAGTCTCCCACTGGCTTAATAAGCCACTCCACTGACCCAGCCTACATGTCGTACATGTGTTCCGGAAATTTCTGTGCGAACTGCCGCCTTGTGAGCTGCTCCCCCCTGGCAAATACTATTGACACAGACACCCTGAGATAGTACCCAGCCTCACAAGTGGCGCCTAAAACATATTTCCAGTTTCTACTGCTCTTGTGAGAAATTCCTAGCTATACATGAGTAAAGGATGTACTCACTTGGTGTACAGTTCTCTGTTCCCTCACCCTCAATACCTCTTGCAATAATGGTCTTATTCGGTATTTGCTTGTCCGTTTACTTACTCTACATACGTTCTCAACCTTCATTTCCACAGAAATGTTGGCCAACTATGCTGGTAGGAAATGGAGGTCTGGTCTTACTGGGTTTGCCTGGTTAGAGGCGAATCCACGATACTTTTGGAATCCTCTTAAGATGTTGTTGTCTCCAGGCCAAGTGTATTGGTAGGAATCTGAGCAGTTTGACACAGCATGTCTTGCTGTCTTGGAGTTTGAATTTCATCTGAGAGTTGGCGTCTTCCTTGTGAAAATTTGTGTGGACTGCCTCCAAGTGAGTCGCCTACCCTGGCAAACTCTGTTGACACCGAGTTCTGAGGTGGGTACCTCAGCCTCACAAGTGGCTTATAGGACAGATTTTCACAAATGATTGATGTTGCAAGAAACTCGCCTGCATGCACGTGTAAAGGACTAACTTACTTGGTGTTGCAGCATATATCCTGATCTTCAACTTCCCTAAGCTTAGCCTTAGCCCCCTTTGGACTTCCCCTCAGAAACCACATGCAACCGGGAGCCTTAATTCCTGCAATATTCAATCGTTATTAGTGACCTGCCTGCACCTCAGAAATTCCTGTATCCAAGAGGGTATGTATCCCCTAGTATAACTATGCAGACACGGACACTAGCTTCTAGACTGCCAAGAGACAATGGTACTTACTGGGCATGCACTGCCTGCTGCACACCGGACCCACAGATCAAACTCACTCACAATTCTCCCTAGACACTGGCCAGAAATCTACGAGATAAAGTGGAGGTCTTCTCTTACTGTATGGGCCTGACGGAGGTCATCTACGGTACATCGAGGTGCCTCTACCAGATTTCCCTAGGTCTCAAATGTGAAGACACGTGGGGGGCGCCGTCTGCTGATCATGGCATGTCTTGTCCAGTTGGTGTCTGTCTTAAGAAGAACGAGCTGGTCTCTCTTCCAGACCCTCGTCTCTTCGTTCAAACTAGGGCTGCCAGTTCTCCCTAGCTAACTTACCCTAGTGTTTGCCTACATTATTGGCCTATTACTACCTATGTTAAGATCTTAGGTCTACATTATTATTATCTACAGTTGCCTTAGTAAACCTAATATTAGTGTACTACCAGTAAAACTACCTACTCCTTCCCTGAAGGGTAAATCTATAAATTAAATAAGCTTACCAACCACGCCAACCCGGGGAGAGAAATGTGTTTATGTTTGGGTTTAGTTAGTTAGTTTAATATGTTTATTATGCACCCCATACCCATCCTGTGGGCGGTAGTCAAAAGATTACAGAGGTACATAATTGGTCCAGGGACTGGACTCCAAAGTTTTGATAGCTGAGCTGTTTGGGGAGAACGCTTTTTGTTTTGTTTGGGTGGGTTTAAGGGCCACCCAGCTCAGCCGTTCCACTACGGCCATGCCGGATCTGTCCTGTGGAACTTTAGGGACCAAATAAATTTCCACATTCCTCTTCTTTTGAATTTTGGGTTGCCAGTTCTTCCTAGCTAATATATGCCTATATTAAAGGTCTAATCCTACCTTTGTTAAGTTCCTAGGACTACATTAATAATATATACGGTTAGTTACTACTGTATATACCTACCTAAACCTTCCTAGAAGGGTAAATATATCAGATATTATGTACTAACGCAAATTGTGGATACAGTCATAGAATTTCAGATATCTTATAATTAACAATGAAGTGTTTTGTCATATCCTGACAGAGAGGCAACAACGAGTCATGGTACGTGATGAGGTATCACACTGGGCACCTGTGACGAGCAGGGTCCCACAGGGGTCAGTCCTAGGACCAGTGCTGTTTTTGGTATATGTGAATGACATGATGGAAGGGATAGACTCAGAGGTGTCCCTGTTCGCAGATGATGTGAAGTTAATGAAGAGAATTAAATCAGATGAGGATCAGGCAGGACTTCAAAGAGACCTGGACAGGCTGGATACGTGGTCCAGCAACTGGCTTCTCGAATTCAACCCTGCCAAATGCAAAGTCATGAAGATCGGAGAAGGGCAAAGAAGACCGCAGACAGAGTATAAGCTGGGTGGCCAAAGACTACAAACCTCGCTCAAGGAGAAAGATCTTGGAGTGAGTATAACACCGAGCACGTCTCCGGAAGCACACATCAACCAGATAACTGCTGCAGCATATGAGCGCCTGGCAAACCTGAGATTAGCGTTCCGATACTTAAGTAAGGAATCTTTCAAGACACTGCACACCGGGTACGTCAGGCCCATGCTGGAGTATGCAGCACTAGTTTGGAACCCGTACCGGGTCAAGCACGTTAAGAAATTAGAGAAAGTGCAAAGGTTTGCGACAAGGTTAGTTCCAGACTAAGGGGAATGTCCTACGAAGAAAGGTTTAGGGAAATCAGCCTGATGACACTGGAGGACAGGAAGGTTAGGAGAGACATGATAACGACATACAAAATACTGCGTGGAATAGACAAGGTGGACAGAGACAAGATGTTCCAGAGAGGGGACACAGATACGAGGGGTCACCCTTGGAAGTTGAAGACTCAGATGAGTCACAGGGATGTTAGGAAGCATTTTTTTCAGTCATAGAGTGGTCAGGAAGTGGAACAGTCTGGCGAGTGATGTAGTGGAGGCAGGAACCATACATAGCTTTAAGACGAGGTATGATAAAGCTTAAGGAGCAGGGAGAGAGAGGACCTAGTGGCGTTCAGTGAAGAGGCGGGGCCAGGAGCTGAGTCTCGACCCCTGCAACTACAATTAGGTGAGTGCTTGGCCTGGAGACCACGGAATCATAGAGTCTTCCCGAAGTACCGGGGATATTTGTCTCTTCCAGGCCCACCCGCAGTAAGACAAGACCTTTCATTTCTCTCAACATTAGTTGGCCAATGATATTCTGGGAAAACGTGAGTTTTAGTCGATCTGTGAGGTCTTGAGCAGACAGACACCCTAAGACCAAATAAGTCCGTCACCGTACGTGGTGTCCGGAGGGTGAGGGACCAGAGGACTACACACCATCAAGTGAGTTAGTCCTTCATTCGTACATGTAGGTAGGAATTTCTTACAAGAGCAGTTGCATATGGAAATGTGTCATAAAAGCCACTTGTGAGCCCGGGATGATTAATCTCAGGGTGTCTGTGTCACCAGTATTTGCCACAAGGAGGCAGTCCAGACAAATTTCCACAATTTGTCTCTGAAAGGTTGGATTTTTGGACACTAAGATATAGTGTTCCACCAGTGTACTCACCGAATTGTAGTTGCAGGGGTCGATTCATAGCTCCTGGCATGGCCCTGTCTTTGTCCATTCACTACATTTTATGTCACTTGGATACCTGCACAAACTGTACTGTCAGAGATACTTGTAGCCCAGCCTTAGTCTAGCAGTGACAACATCTTGTTATCTACTGACCTTGTTACTTTCTCCATAAATATGTTTGACCTAACACATTTTTATTATGAGTGACAAGTGATCTACTAGTTCCTAGCTGTACTATTTACTGTTTTCAAACTCTTTTGCTAGTTCTTTTTTGACAATATTTTTTTAAATTTCTATTGGAGAACCTAAAATTATATTCGACACTTTTACTTAATGGTAATTTACATAATTCATCAAATTTATCATGCTCCTGAAAGTACCAGGAATGGCTTTATCAGTCTGAAAAAGCCACTCGTGATAAAACACTTGTTAATAAACGTCTTGATCAGTACATACATGTCTTTTACCTACAACAGTTTGTTCCACTTCCTGACAGCTCTAAGTTTAAAGAAGTATTTCCTAATATCCCCTGATTCATGTGTTTCTAACTTTATCTCTAGAACATACTTGCCTCGTCCACTCAGTCAATCACTCATTGTTCTTTTCTCTAATATCATCAGGTTTAGCTCTTCAACTTCCGTTTATAGCTCACACGTCTTAGCTCTGGGACTAGACTCATTGCAAGCAACTACACTATTTTTTCAGCTTCTTGGTATATTTTATCGGATGTGGGTTCCATATTGGTGCTACTTACTCTAGGATGGGCTGACAAATGTTGTATATGGTGTCATAAATAACTTTTTGAGGTTCCTGAAGGCTATCTTTAAATCTGATGTGTCGTTCAAGCAATATGCTTGGAACTATGCTCACCCCGAGGTCTTTCTCTGAATTACAGCACCAGACAGCGTAGATAGTGTGTGTGACATTAATTTTTGTCTGCAGGTCGCGTCTTGTTCTCTCCAGGTAAACTCCAGGTAAGATTAGTGAGCTTAGAAAGTAGTCGAAGATTAGGATTGTGTATGATTATTTTGGGGAGGATAATAAAGCATGGTAATATCAAAAGCTGTTATTTGCCAGGGTAGTGAAAAATGGTGTTTTTCCTAGCATGATACAGTTTATGAAGTTTACACATGGTAATGTGTGTGTGTGGATTTGGGCGAGGTTGCTTCTCTCACATCGGGAAGCAGAGCCACAAACTGTCAGCGAATTGAAGAAGTTCCCAATTATCCCAATGGAAATATCAAGGACTCGAATGGAAATAAGTGACTGTCTGACTTTTTTTTGAGTTATCCTAAGTAATTTACACATAAGTTACTATGTGTGATAATTGTACTTATGTGTACATGTACCTAAATAAACTTATTTGCTAAATGTTGTACATGTGTCTTACTTGTCTGTATTATACCATTATAAAATTCATCACAATATGGTCCTCGAGTTCTGACAACCCTTAACCCAAACCCTTAACCACCAACTCACAATGGAAATAAGTCACTTTGGCTGAATTTTTTGGGATATCCTAGGTAATCTACACACATGCTGCTTTGTATGATAATTTGTGTAACTGTATTTATGTGCACCTGTACCCGAATTAACTTAATCCCAACATGATGATGTCCTCGGGTTGTGACAACCCTTAACCACCAACTTTTAACCCCCTACATGATGATGTCCTCGGGTTTTCAGAACCCTTAACCACCACCAACAACAACACTGGTGAGAATTTCACGTGTTGGAGAAAATAGCTTCCTGAAGAAGATAAGGATAAAATATCAGCATGAAGTGTAAACGTTTAGTGGTTGATACAGCAGCGTTTGTGAAGAATGTTCCACTCTGGGTACGTCAGGTTAATAATGAATTAATAATAATATATTTACTACAAGTACATGTACAAGGTATACAGAACAGCTGACATCAGTGACATACTACGGTATAGAAAGCCGCTTGTTATGTTGAGCATTTAGGGCAAATTAGGGCAATTTTGACCCAGGATGCGACCCACACCAGTCCACTAACACCCAGGATGTGACCCACACCAGTCCACTAACGCCCAGGATGTGACCCACACCAGTCCACTAACACCCAGGATGTGACCCACACCAGTCCACTAACACCCAGGATGTGACCCACACCAGTCCACTAACACCCAGGATGTGACCCACACCAGTCCACTAACACCCAGGATGCGACCCACACCAGTCCACTAACACCCAGGATGCGACCCACACCAGTCCACTAACACCCAGGATGCGACCCACACCAGTCCACTAACACCCAGGATGCGACCCACACCAGTCCACTAACACCCAGGATGCGACCCACACCAGTCCACTAACACCCAGGATGCGACCCACACCAGTCCACTAACACCCAGGATGCGACCCACACCAGTCCACTAACACCCAGGATGCGACCCACACCAGTCCACTAACACCCAGGATGCGACCCACACCAGTCCACTAACACCCAGGATGCGACCCACACCAGTCCACTAACACCCAGGATGTGACCCACACCAGTCCACTAACACCCAGGATGTGACCCACACCAGTCCACTAACACCCAGGATGCGACCCACACCAGTCCACTAACACCCAGGATGCGACCCACACCAGTCCACTAACACCCAGGATGTGACCCACACCAGTCCACTAACACCCAGGATGTGACCCACACCAGTCCACTAACACCCAGGATTTGACCCACACCAGTCCACTAACACCCAGGATGTGACCCACACCAGTCCACTAACACCCAGGATGCGACCCACACCAGTCCACTAACACCCAGGATGCGACCCACACCAGTCCACTAACACCCAGGATGTGACCCACACCAGTCCACTAACACCCAGGATGTGACCCACACCAGTCCACTAACACCCAGGATGCGACCCACACCAGTCCACTAACACCCAGGATGCGACCCACACCAGTCCACTAACACCCAGGATGTGACCCACACCAGTCCACTAACACCCAGGATGTGACCCACACCAGTCCACTAACACCCAGGATGCGACCCACACCAGTCCACTAACACCCAGGTATCCATTTTACTGATGGGTGAACATAGACAAATGGCGTAAGGAAACGTCCAATGTTTCCACCCCTTCGCTGGGAATCGAACCCGAACCCTCAACATGTGAAACGAGAGCTTTTCCTTAAAACGTATGTTTTGTATTACTTTTTGTAGTGTTAATAATGCTTTTGTAATATTTGTATTATTTGTAGGTGCCTTGATGATAGTAACTTCTGAGCCAAGACATTGAATCTGACCTCTTGGAAGTGATTGTCTCCCAGTCCCCATGCAGTGTGTGGCCCCCCTACAGTTTTAGCGCACTAATATGGCCCCCTACAATTTTAGCGCACGGTGTGGCCCCCTATGGGTTTAGTGCTTCCTTATGATAATGCATCTAGTGATGTTTATTGTACATTGTGTTTTATGGTCCATTCGGGTTTAGCGCTGCTTTCGAATATGATACTGTTCAGTCAATGGCAGGAGCAGAAACCTTAAAGTTAATTGCATGTATACCAAGGAAGAAAAATACAATATCCACAGGAGGTGCCAGATAGTGATGTAGGGCTTTTGATCCAGGGAATTGTAGCTGCTCTCCTCTCTTTCTTTGGATCATCTATTTGCCTCTCATCCCTTTTTATTTTGTGTACTCTGTATGACCCTTATGGGTTTAGCATTTAATTTTTTTATTGTAATATTTTTTGTGTAATTTTGATGTTATCTAAACTGCACTTGATAATGATGTTTATTTCTCTAAGCGACACACAAATAATGCAGTTTAAATGTATTAATACAGTAGTAAGCACAAAAGGAAACTATTAATTATGCAATGCATTTTGGACAACTTATCATAAAAACATATATAATGATCTACCTTAATTTTTAAAGTGGTGGACTGGTAAGCCAGTGGAAGGCCACAGTCAGATGACTAAAAGCTGCAGTAGTGGGTCATCATATGACTAACACCTGCATCAGGAAACACTTGTCCTGTTTCCTGAGGAATCTTACCTAATTTAATCATAAGACTTATGTGCTGCTTAAGAACTAGACATAGCCTTATGTCATTCATTATGTTTAATATTTCTTTAGGTCACATATGTATGTATGGAATATTTTTATTTATTTAAAATAAAACATGTGGCTGCAGATATGAAAAAAATATTAAACCAAACAACATGAGCACTTTAATGTCCTTACGCACACATCTACCTCTGAATCAGAGTAATGGTAGAAATGTTTTGAATAGTGATGTTTGAGGTTAATAGATCACCAAAAGAATGTGTCTGATAAATATTTTAACCATAAATATTTTTTTTAATTGTTGCTGTAATTCATTTACAAATAATATTACAGTGGACCCCTGCTTTACGATCAGCTCCCAATGCGACCAATTATGTAAGTGTATTTATGTAAGTGCATTTGTAGTGTATGTTTGGGGGTCTGAAATGGACTAATCTAATTCACAATATTCTTTATGGGACCAAATTCGTTCAGTAATGGCACCTGAACATACTTCTGGAATGAAATAATATCGTAAACTGGGGGTCCACTGTAATTGTTCTTTGCTTCATCATGTACAGTAGCTAATATTGACTGACTGTTGTATATTTTTTTATAGGAGTATGGAGAGGAGCTGTATAGCTTGCCAGAGGTTATTGAGGAGATACGTGATAAGCAGACACGACAGCGTTTAGAAGCCATGCCTGTTGCTATCAAAATGAGACAGCCTCAGGCACATTCAGTGAGGTTTGGTAAGACTGACAATCTTTATTTAGGAATTTAATGTCATAAAATATCTATTAGTGTTTCCCCGTGAGTATCAATGCACCTTATGTATGCTGAGTGTAGTTGTGATGCCACTAAACTGTACAATAAATCCTCTCATAAATTGTGAGTTACGTTCTGTAGAAATTGACGTTAAATTTAACATCACAGCTTGAAGTGGAGAACTTGTAGAAAAATATGGTTACGTTCCAGACACCTCCATATATGCTAAGTAAATTTCTTTTTTAATACTGTACTACGTATGGGGACAAACAATATTAATGTTTTGTAAATACAGGTCAATACCAGTTAACTTCAGGAGGATGCAGCAGTGGTATTTATGGGTCTTGTGGAAAAGAGCAGGTGATATGGCCTTACTAAGATAAATGTTGTCATATGCTGAGCTAGGCAGGATCTAGTTTGTCGGATCAGTGATTAATACATGTTGGACGTAGATGATGTTCAGAACGAGTGGTTATTACAGTTCATTAGGAATTCTTTTAGTGCCTATTGTTAAATATAATTTTAGGTACAGTATGCCATGTAATTTATTTGTAATCATAATGGAAAGCAATTTGATATGTCACTATTGTGACAGAGAGAAAGAATACTCTAAAATTAGAAGAAAGTCACTGAAGACTTGATGCATATTCTTTTACACAAATAACCTGCACATAGGAGAGAGAAGTTTATGACGACGTTTCGGTTTACTTGGACCATTTACAAGTCACTAGTGTATTAGTTTTACTAGTGTGACTTGTAAATGGACCAAAATATCGTCATAAGCTTCTTTCTCCTATGTGCAAGTTATCTGTGTGTTATTCCAGTCACGGTATTGTGCCTTTTTGTTGTTTATATTTCTTTAATTTGCTTATTTTTATTTTTTGTCTAATTATTGTAGGTTAATTTCTTTTACAGTTAATGAATTTTCCAAGAAGACAGGGGATTATGCTAGCTTGTCATTAGCAGATATTAAAGTTTTAGCTCTCACATACGAACTGGAAGTTGAAGTCCAAGGAGGCTCTGAACACCTTTGTTCAGAACCACAGAGGATCATCACTGAAGGAGCTGCTAAGAAGACTAGCAAATCTAGTGTAAAGTTGGCTGAAGGGTTTTATCATCCTGCTGCACAGGTAAATGACCATTATATCTTAAGATACAGTAACTGATTCCACTGTAGAATATAGACCTATTGAGGTGTTCCATGTTTCTGAGGCAGCTGTATACTAATCAGACAAGGAGAATATCCTAGATTAGTGCAATTTGCCCAGTTGTGTTATTAATTAAAGCATAAAAGGTGTGCTCATTAAAAACTTTAAAAATATGTGCAGTACTAACAAAAATAATACAGTAGTGATTAAAGAAGAGACAGATGATATTGGTAAGATGATTTTTACATGGTATACATTCGTTTTATATTTTTGAAAATGTAATTAATTAAATGTCTCAAAAATAAAGAGATCATTGATCTTTAATGATGCACCATTCTTCCTAATTACCATGCAGCGCGAAGAAAATATAGCCATCTCTACCAGCAACTCGCTTCCATGGTCTTTGTCATCAGATGCTGCCGACTCTGAATGCAATCAGTTAGAATCATCTTTGCCCAACTCTGCTTCGGGAGCTCTCCAAAGACATATCCGTAGATGGCATTTGATGCTAATGAATAATTTCCTGGAGGAATACAGCTACATTAGTGGTCACATTCTCACAGGCAGTGACTTTTTATTGTACTCCACCTTTGAGGAGGAATACCTTCAGTTTTGTCCACTTAAAACTCATCCTGATTTAAACATTTGTGAAGGCTCAGATATACAGTCTGAAAATAATGTAAGCCCTCTTTACTCCACCTTTTTCCATTTAAAAAGGTGGGCATCACATATTATGTCATTCAGCAAGGAAGAAAGAAAGTTATATCCTCACTCCACTCAGTCTGTGGAGGAGCTGCTTCAAAACTTTGAGAAGAGGGGACGGCAAAGGGTAAATTCTGTGTTAAAACATTGGAATGCTTCTGTTTTTATTTGTAAATATTTTCTCGCATGCATTTTCAACGTTCATTTTTTGTCATTACATCAAAGATGTAATACCAACAGGGTGATGAATAATACACATGAGCAATTTCTGGGTATCTCTATTGAGAGACCTTTTTGCCTCTGTAGGGTACAAGTCATTATCCTCGTGCCTCTGTTAAATTAATAAAGCCTACTGTCCAGGTGAAACATCCTTCAATAAAGATTTGCAGGTGTTATACATATCTTATTCATCAACTTGTTCATTTTTATATATTCTTCTATGTGATTGCTCTTTTCTTACTTGTTTGAATATAGTACCTTTTCATAGCTACAGAAGCAGAGCTATGCTTGTGGTGTTTTTAATTTTACATTAAAAAACACTTGTCTCTATTTACTAGTATCTAATAAGCTTGCACAAGCCTGCTGGATGCTTAAATCTCTAAAACTCAAAGCATTCTCTATCCCACCCCTTCAACTGTTCCACCCAAGATATGTACACCTTCATCATCCCATCTCTCTATATCCTCTCTGCATGCGCAAACTGTCTCAACAATCCTTCTTCAGCCCTGTTGGTGACCTCACACTGCTTTTAAGGTTTTATGCTTCTCCTTACTCCAAAACAGTGTTATCCCTCCCTGCTCAGTGCCTGAAATTGTTGCCATGTCTTCATCATTAACATTCAGCAACTAGTCAAAATATCCTCTTCACCTTTCCATTACCTCCACCTCCCCATCTAACATTTTCCTTTTTTTTTAATTGCCAAGTCTATTTGCACTTTAGGCTTACTTTGTTAATTGCTCTCCAAAACTATTTCTTTTATTTTTTTTTATTATCACACCGGCCGATTCCCACCAAGGCAGGGTGGCCCGAAAAAGAAAAACTTTCACCATCATTCACTCCATCACTGTCTTGCCAGAAGGGTGCTTTACACTACAGTTTTTAAACTGCAACATTAACACCCCTCCTTCAGAGTGCAGGCACCGTACTTCCCATCTCCAGGACTCAAGTCCGGCCTGCCGGTTTCCCTGAATCCCTTCATAAATGTTACTTTGCTCACACTCCAACAGCACGTCAAGTATTAAAAACCATTTGTCTCCATTCACTCCTATCAAACACGCTCACGCATGCCTGCTGGAAGTCCAAGCCCCTCGCACACAAAACCTCCTTTACCCCCTCCCTCCAACCCTTCCTAGGCCGACCCCTACCCCGCCTTCCTTCCACTACAGACTGATACACTCTTGAAGTCATTCTGTTTCGCTCCATTCTCTCTACATGTCCGAACCACCTCAACAACCCTTCCTCAGCCCTCTGACAACAGTTTTGTAATCCCGCACCTCCTCCTAACTTCCAAACTACGAATTCTCTGCATTATATTCACACCACACATTGCCCTCAGACATGACATCTCCACTGCCTCCAGCCTTCTCCTCGCTGCAACATTCATCACCCACGCTTCACACCCATATAAGAGCGTTGGTAAAACTAATACTCTCATACATTCCCCTCTTTGCCTCCAAGGACAAAGTTCTTTGTTTCCACAGACTCCTAAGTGCACCACTCACTCTTTTTCCCTCATCAATTCTATGATTCACCTCATCTTTCATAGACCCATCCGCTGACACGTCCACTCCCAAATATCTGAATAGGTACGTTCACCTCCTCCATACTCTCTCCCTCCAATCTGATATTCAATCTTTCATCACCTAATCTTTTTGTTATCCTCATAACCTTACTCTTTCCTGTATTCACCTTTAATTTTCTTCTTTTGCACACCCTACCAAATTCATCCACCAATCTCTGCAACTTCTCTTCAGAATCTCCCAAGAGCACAGTGTCATCAGCAAAGAGCAGCTGTGACAACTCCCACTTTGTGTGTGATTCTTTATCTTTTAACTCCACGCCTCTTGCCAAAACCCTCGCATTTACTTCTCTTACAACCCCATCTATAAATATATTAAACAACCACGGTGACATCACACATCCTTGTCTAAGGCCTACTTTTACTGGGAAAAAATTTCCCTCTTTCCTACATACTCTAACTTGAGCCTCACTATCCTCGTAAAAACTCTTCACTGCTTTCAGTAACCTACCTCCTACACCATACACTTGCAACATCTGCCACATTGCCCCCCTATCCACCCTGTCATACGCCTTTTCCAAATCCATAAATGCCACAAAGACCTCTTTAGCCTTATCTAAATACTGTTCACTTATATGTTTCACTGTAAACACCTGGTCCACACACCCCCTACCTTTCCTAAAGCCTCCTTGTTCATCTGCTATCCTATTCTCCGTCTTACTCTTAATTCTTTCAATTATAACTCTACCATACACTTTACCAGGTACACTCAACAGACTTATCCCCCTATAATTTTTGCACTCTCTTTTATCCCCTTTGCCTTTATACAAAGGAACTATGCATGCTCTCTGCCAATCCCTAGGTACCTTACCCTCTTCCATACATTTATTAAATAATTGCACCAACCACTCCAAAACTATATCCCCACCTGCTTTTAACATTTCTATCTTTATCCCATCAATCCCGGCTGCCTTACCCCCTTTCATTTTACCTACTGCCTCACGAACTTCCCCCACACTCACAACTGGCTCTTCCTCACTCCTACAAGATGTTATTCCTCCTTGCCCTATACACGAAATCACAGCTTCCCTATCTTCATCAACATTTAACAATTCCTCAAAATATTCCTTCCATCTTCCCAATACCTCTAACTCTCCATTTAATAACTCTCCTCTCCTATTTTTAACTGACAAATCCATTTGTTCTCTCAGCAAAATTTGCTGATAATACTTGTCCATTCTCTTCTTGGTTCTCCTTTTGTACTCCTTTATCACACTTTTGACCTCCCTTTTCCTCTTCATATACTCTGCCATCAGTATATCATTTTACATTTTAAACTCTTCCTGTGCTACCTTTTTCTCCCTTACTGCCCTCTTTACCTTATCATTCCATCAATCATTCCTCTTTCCACCCTTGCCTACCATCTTTTACCGACAAACTTATGGTGCACGCTTTAACAATTCATTCTTAAATTTACCTCACACATACTCAACATACTTATTTCCTGTACACTCTTTAGCCAAGCTTTCCTCCAATAGCTGCTTATATCTTTCTGAAACCATCTCCTTTAGTTTATTCACTTTCACTTTTCTCTTACCCACTGATATCATTCTCCTTGTACTCCATCTACCCCTTACTCTTACCTAGCTATCACTAAATACAGTGGAACCTCAAAAATCGAACTTAATCCATTCCAGGAGCTAGTTCTAAATTCAAAAAGTCTGAAATTCGAAGCAATATTTCCCATAAGAAATAATGGAAATACAATTAATCCGTTCCAGAAACCCAAAAATATTCACACAAAAAATACATTTTATAGAGATTAATTACAGTTTTACATACAACAAATACTATAGTTTTTAATTTTGTATAGTAATACATATAAAATAACATTTTTACTTACCTTTATTGAAGATTGGTGATAGCATCTGAAAGATAGGGAGGAGGAGAGAGGGAGTTGGGGTTAGTGTTTGGAAGGAGAATCCCCCTCCATGAGGACTTCAGGTAAAGCCCCTCTTGGGGTTACTTCCCTTCTCTGTCTTTTAATGCCACTAGGACCAGCTTGAGAGTCATTGGAGCCCTGTCTCACAAAATAACTGTCCACAGTCCTCTGTTTCTGGCGCCTCTTTAACATTTCCCTAAAATGGGACATGGTTCTGTCACTGAACTTGTTGCAAAGATGGCTTGTTTCAGCTTGCTCAGGGTGGTACTTCTGCACAAACATTTGGACATCATTCCACTTGGCACAAATCTCCTTAATCTTTGAAGAAGGCACCTCATCCACTCCCTATATTAACACCTTTTGCAACATCAGCTTCCTTGATTTGTTCTATCTTTGACAGGATAGAACCGATGGTCGACTTGTTTTTCCCATACATCCTGGCAAGCTCAACAAGTCTCACACCACTCATACTTCTGTATTATTTCCTTCTTCACATCTATGGTGTTTCTCACTTTCTTTACCACAGGGGTACCACTAGCAAGTTTCTTTGGGCCCATGGCAGCTTATTTCACAGTCCCCCAAGCACTAAACACAACGAAATAATCGTAAAATGCGTGAATGAGAGCGCAGGTTAGTGTTCACTTAAGCATAAACAAAGCTAGACTGCTCGCGGCGCCTGCGCGGGGACGCGGACAGAGCGGGCGGCAGACAGGTCCAGTGCCCGGCGGTCCGAAAATAGGGGCGCATTTGATAATAGGGACACAGTTTGTCCGAAAAAATGGTCCTATTTTCGAAATGTTTGATATATGATACATTCGATTTTTGAGGTTCCACTGTAATGATCTTACATATTTGTCACTCTTCTAAAAACATGCATATGCTAAATCTTCTAATACATAATTTAATAAACTGCTATCATTGTGCCCTATTTCATCTTGTATACTTATCCTTTTTTTGTCAAAATAAGCATTACCCATTACCGAACCCCTGTCTATACGTAATTCAGTTAAGGACCTCCCCATTTTCATTTACCCCTTGCACTTCCAAACTTACCTAATACACCATCGCAGCAATCTCACCCACTTCAGCATTTAGGTCCTTCACAACATTCAATTTCTCACTGGGATGAAAATGTCCTAAACATTCATTTAACACCTCCCCAAAATCTCTGTCTCTCTTCTACAAACCTTTCATGTCCAGTTGCTTGCACTTATTATAACCCAGCTTCTCACTTAATATTCTAATCTACATAATTCTTGAATTTAAAGACTTATACTCCCACTTTTCTTTCCATAGTTAATCATACATTGCCACTAATCGTTTACCACTGATTCTCTTGGATACAAATGACCTAATTCCATTTACTCCTTCCCATTGAAATTCTCTCACCTCTATTAGCTTTGTTTCATTTAGTGCTAGGACATCCAGCTTCTTTTAATTTATGACATTAACATTAAAATGCTCATTATCAAAATTTCCTTTTTTGTACTTTTGGTAATTGAGTACAGATAAGAGATTACTAGCCCCCTTGGTCAATCATCTTAGTTGGCTTTTATGAGATGCATGGCTTATGGGGAAAGAATTTTAACCCACCATTTCCATTGGATATTATTAGTTTTTTTTTTTTTCAACAAGCTGGCCGTATCCCACTGAGGCAGGGTGACTTAAAAAGAAAAATGAAAGTTTTTATTTTTAAATTTAGTAATTTACTCAGGAGAAGGGGTTACTAGCCTCTTGCTCCCGGCATTTTAGTCACCTCTTATGACACGCATGGCTTACGGAGGAAGAATTCTTCCTACTTCCTGATGGAGATTATTATTATTATTACTGCATTAATGGTAAAATGCTAAATCAGTTGGGGTCACAGCACCTGGGTAATAGAGGATAATCAGGTTTGATTCAAGGAAGAGGAGGTACCTCTAATTCCTTGGATTAAGAATCCTTCATTGTTATCCCTTGTAGGTTTTAATTTGCATAGTGCATTTTTTACAATATATGTTGATTTTCAGGAATGCGATCATTGGTACATGTGTAATGCTTCTATAAAAACTGGCTGTGATTGCTGTTTGTAATTTTTTGTAGACTAATACAGTACTGTACTATATGTATTTGGTGTTATTTATTTAATGCATTGGTAGCTTTTGTTCAGTGGTAAATAAAAGTTTTTAAACACTCTGGCTGTCTCCCACCAAGGTAGAGTGACCCAGTCCAGAATACAGCACTTTCACTGTCACTTATTCAGTTGCTGTCTTACCAGAAGGGCACCAACATTACAGTTTATATATCTGCTTTTATTTACTATTGGAAAAATTCTAGAAATAAGAGTGCTGCTCACACAATATTTCACAAACAATTTTACATTGAAGAATGAATGAAACTCAATCACACAGTTTATATTATACTGTTTATAACCTTAAATAATTTATTTAAATTAAGTGTTACAGTTCCATGGTAAATATCATATTAATAATCCCTAAGCAACTTACTCATATGGACTTGCAGGATGAGAAAGAATCTCTATACTCAGTCCAGAAAGATGAGGAAGGAACTGCACAGTCAAAACAGAAAGATGAAAGATCTACACAATCAGAACAGAAAGATGAGGAAGGAACTACACAGTCAGAAGAGAAAGATAAGGAAGGAACTACACAGTCAGAAGAGAAAGATAAGGAAGGAACTGCACAGTCAGAAGAGAAAGATGAGAAAGGATCTACATTTTCAGTCCAGAAAGATGAAGGTTCTAGATGGTCAGTCCAGAAGGATGACAGTTTGTTACCGTCAGACTTGAAGGACATAAAGATGTTTTCACAGTTAGATCAGAAGGCTGATGAAGAGTTTTCTGGGTTAGATCCATTAGAGCCCACACCTGTGGATCTAAGCTCTCTTTCTCTCCTGGAACACACTGTAGCAGAGAACTGCAGTGAGGATGAGAACAATGAAGAGGAACTAGTAGGCAGTCATCTTGCAGAAGAAGGGGAAGATCAAGGTAGGTAAAAGTTTGTGGAGGTCAAAGTTTCAATGGCAAGAAAATTTAATTGTATAGAGGACATGTCCAGCCCCTTTTATTTATTTTTTGTATTTGTTGGAAGAGAGGAGAAAGAAAGATAATACTATGGGAATAATTCCTGTGATATGCCAAGATATGGGAAATGTCTTATTGTTTACCAGGTATATCTTGCTCAGTCACACTGCACTTGAATTGATTTAGTTGGACAAGACATTTCATTTTAGTTCACTAAAATGTGAGCTTGACACTGATGCAGGCTAGTATGTAGAGCATCATCTTTGGGGAAGTTTGTTATAATTGATTAGGGAAATTTGAAATATATTTACATAAACTAACCAATCTGCTTAACTGGCCGATAAATGGATAATGCACAAATAACCCGCATATAGAAGAGAGGAGCTTATGACGACGTTTTGGTCGTGACTTTGTAAATGGTCCAAGTCGGACTGAAACATCGTTGTAAGCTCCTCTCTTCTATGAGTGGGTCATTTGTGTATTGTTCCAGCCACGGTATTGTGCCTTTTTTTTTTTTTGTTGTTGTTATTTATTAGTGGATAAGGGGGTGGTAGCCCAGGTTTTACAATGAAAAAAATTAAGTGAACAGTATTTAGATAAGGCTAAAGAGGTTTTTGGGGCTTTTTTGGGTTTTGGGAAAAGGGTATGACGGGGGATAGGGGGGGGCAATGGGGCAGATTTTGAGGGTAGGGTGTAGGAGGTGGGTTTACTAAAAGCAGTGAAGATTTTTTTTTCGAGATAGTGAGTAAATTTAGAGTATATAGGAAAGGGGAATTATTTCCCAGTAAAAGTAGGACTTAGACAAGGATGTGGATTCCCGGGTTGTTTAATATATTTTTTTGATGGGGTTGTAAAGAAGAAAATGCGGGGGCCCCTTGGCAAGAGGCGGGGAGTTAAAAAGAAAAAGAATCACACAAAAATGGGAGTTGTCACATTTGCCTTTGCTGATGACACTGGCTTTTGGGAGTTCGAAGAGAAGTTAGGGGTTGGTGATGATTTGGGTGGGGGTATAAAAGAAAAAAATTTAAAAAGTGAATACAAAAAGAGAAAGGTTAGAGATAAAAAAACATTGGTGATGAAAATTGGTATCGGATTGGGGAGAGAGTATGGAGGAGGTGAATGTATTCAATTTTTGGGGGGACTGTCACGGAGGGGTCTTGAAAGAAAAGTGAATTATAGAAAATGAGGGAAAAGGGTGAGCGGTGCACTTTTGGATCTGTGGGGGAAAAAAGAACTTTTTCCTTGGGGGCAAAGAGGGAATGTATAGAGTATAGTTTTCCCAACGCTCTTATATGGGTGTGAAGCATGGTGATGAATGTTGCAGCGAGGAAAAGGGTGGAGGCAGTGGAGATGTCATGTCTGAGGGCAATGTGTGGTGTGAATATAATGCAGAGAATTCGTAGTTTGGAAGTTAGGAGGAGGTGCGAGATTCCCAAAAACTGTTTGTCCAGAGGGCTGAGGAAGGGTTGTTGAGGGGGTTTTCGGACATATAGAGAGAATGGAGTGAAACGAATGATTTTCAAGAGTGTATCAGTCTGTAGTGGAAGGAAGGCGGGGCAGGGGTCGGCCTAGGAAAGGGTTTGGGAGGGGGGGGGTAAAGGTTTTGTGTGCGAGGGGCTTGGACTTCCAGCGGGCATGCGTGAGCGTGTTTGATAGGAGTGAATGGAGACAAATGGTTTTTAATACTTGACGTGCTGTTGGAGTGTGAGCAAAGTAACATTTATGAAGGGATTCAGGGAAACCGGCAGGCCGGACTTGAGTCCTGGAGATGGGAAGTACAGTGCCTGCACTCTGAAGGAGGGGTGTTAATGTTGCAGTTTAAAAACTAGTGTAAAGCACCCTTCTGGCAATACAGTGATGGAGTGAATGATGGTGAAAGTTTTTCTTTTTCGGGCCACCCTGCCTTGGTGGGAATCGGCCAGTGTGTTAATAAAAAAATAATATAATAATGGAGGGAGGTAGACCAACTTTTGTTCAAACTAATGATTCCTTGCATTAAGGAAGATGTTTTCAGTGTTAGATTACTTGTCATTCTCAGTAAACAAAAGACACCTACCATCCGACTTACGACTTGCTCAACTTACAACCACTCGACTTATGACCATGTTTTTTATGCCAAATTTCTGGGAAATAAACAACTATTTGTGTTGTACAAAGTGTTTATCCTAAACCTTACAGTATAAAATACAGTACTAACAGCATAAAAAGTAAAGTAAAACGTGAAATACCAAAATAAAACAATAAAATAAAGTCATTACAAAAATGTTTTGTTGATTTTCAGTAGTAAAGTTCGACTTACGACCATTTCGACTTACGACCGGTTTCTTGGAACCGAACTCGATCGTAAGTCGGATGGTAGGTGTACCTTAAAATTATTTTTAATTTTAGCAGAATTCTATACATGTATTAATGAAATATCAATGTTACAGAGGAGCATGAGGAAGATAATGACAACTTGGATGATGGAAGTGATGATGAAGGATGGATAACACCCTCTAACATAAAGAAACATAAAATTAAGAACAGTGATTTTGTAAATGCAGATGAGCTACAGGATGATGTACAAGTGGCATGCATCACTGCAGATTTTGCTGTACAGGTAATAGTGGCAAGTCTAGGTCACTTTGTATGTGGTTGCTTTCCTTCCAAAAATTGTTACTTTTCTTTGGCTGCACTTAAATTTCAGGGTATTCTGTTACATTCACTTAATCCATATACAGCATACAAATTCCTTGAAATTTCATACAATAACTCACTGATTATTCAGCATTTGGTTATTCAACATTTAATATTATCAGGTCTTGTTCACTCTGGCATTTAAGCAGAGATAATGCTAAAAGAAATGTGCAAAGAAAGTTACCATAAATAAATGCCCTGATCATCTGGTGTTGTAAATCAGTCATACTCTCCTCTCTAAAGGCACTGAATAATCAGTGATCTATTGTGTATATAGCTGTATAGTCCTTGTGGCTTAGCGCTTCTTTTTGATTATAATAATAATAATAATAATAATATTGTGTATATATACATGTATATTTTTTATTCCTTGTCTTCTGTTAGTACTTCTCTCTTTCATGTTCAAGGGAGGTTCCTTAATGTCAGTGAAGGGCTCTTGATTCAGGGAATTGGACCTGTCCTCCTCTTCCTTGGATTGAATCTGATTACTTTCCATTTCCCCATAGTATAATCCCTATTATTGTATTCATGGAAAGCACTGAACCTCTAAGGTTCATATGGTACCTTGGGATTGGTAGGGATGGAGTTAATAAGGTTTTATCTGAAGGAAGAATAGGGTAGTTCAGTGTCTTGGATCAAGAGCCTTTGACCATATTGTGCATAATCTTGTTTCTGAGTGTAAGTTTTCACTTTCCAACATGACAAACAAACAGCCCACTGAATTGTTTAGCAAATATTTCAAGTGATATTTAAAAGTTATCATTGGTACTTGCAAAGAGTCTGTGTGAGGATACAAAGTAACAGTGAAATGTACTGAGACATTTTAAAGGGAAGTTTTTTTTTTTTTTGTAATTTCATCTGTTTTCATTCTTATGTTTTACAATATTATATTCATGACTAAATTTCTTTTTCAGAATGTATTGAAGCACATTGGTTTACCAATAATAGGTGTGGATGGTAAATTTATAAGGCACCTGAGAACATACATCCTGAGGTGTTATGCCTGCTTTAGAACCACATCTGTGATGACAAAGGTATGATGTGTAAAACTGAAAGCACTGTGTAAGTAAACAATTTGGACTACTTAATTTTATTTTGATCAGATAAATGTTGAACCTGTATGGGTCGTGTAGTGACCGGGAAATGGAGGGCAGTGAGGTTTGATCAAAGAAGGTGGAGAATAGATCCACTTCCTTAGATCAAGAGCCCCTCACTAGCATCAGGTCACCTTCCTTGAAGGGTGTAGATATAATAATGTGATGTTTAGTAATGTGATTAACTTTAAGTATTGATGAGGTTTGAGAAACATGCAAGTCTTATTGATAAATATTTTTAAGTATGTACTGCACTACTATAATGCTTCAAGACTGTCCATCTAGTGCAGCTTTTTATAACAGTACAGTATCAATACATGCAAGAGTTTGTTTGTGGTTTTATGTGGCATGTAAAATAATTATTGTATTGTAAAAATACAAACTTGTGCTTGATAAATTGGCCCAATATTACCTTGAAAAAAATACACCATTGCAGATAAAAGCAGAATAGGATAACTATAGGGTATATAAATCTGGGTTGGAGGAGGAACTGGATGGAGAGAGCAAAGAGGTTTTGAGTGCTAGGGGATTGAACATTCAAAAGGCTTGTGGGCACCTTAGAATGGAGTGACCTGACCTGCTGTTGGGGCATGAACAAGGAAATGTTTATGAAGGGATTCAGAAGCAACCAGTTATTGGACTTAAGTCCTGGAGGAATGGCCGGTATATTGCAGTTTGAAGTTGTCATTTAAACTGTGATGTTTGCACACTTCTGGCAAGACAGTAATTGAGCGAATAATGGTGAATGTTCCCTCTTTTTGGGTCACCCCCACCTAGGTGGAAGATGGCCATTATGTTATCTTTTTTCAAGTTTTTAGTTAATTTAAGTTATGCATCAAGTTACTTTAAACTTCACCTATTAATGAAGTGTTTAGTTTATAACTGTTTGTAAAGCAGATTTTTATATCATCACTTGTACAGTAAGTAAATTATATACATTTTAGTGACAGAAAACATATTTTGTTTCATGCAGATATTCTGCCCTCATTGTGGCAATAAAACACTGAAGAAGGTGTCAGTGACAGTGAACCCAGACGGTACACAGAAAATCTGGATCAATACTAAGAGGCCTATAAACATAAAAGGAACAAAGGTAATTGGAAAGGTTCATGGGGTGTTTAGTCTGTAGTTACTTACCTCTTTTAGCAGATTATTTTTTCATAATTGGTTAGTTTATATTATTGTTTTTATTATTATTATTTTATTTATGGGGAAGTGCTAAATCCTCAGGGGTCATACAGTGCCTGGAGAATGGGAGGCAGTTAGATTTGATCCAGGGAAGGGAAGAACCTATCCAGCTCTTTGAGTCAAGAGTCCCTCACTAGCATCAAGGAACCTCCCTTGAGGGTTATAGTAAGAAAGGATGTACAGTAGGACCCCAGTATCCCTGGGGGATACATTCCAAGGACCTGCTGTGGATACCGAAACTGTAGGTAGTAGCAGATCCTATATATAAGTCCTATACATACCTATTGCAAAGTTTAATAGATAAATTATGCACAATAAGTAGAGAATTATCACTTTTTCACTTATGTGAAGCACTTCACAGCTTCTCTTAGGCTTTGAAGAACTGCCAGCTTCTCTACTTTTGTGCTTTGGAGCCATTATTATGCAAAATTAAGAGGTATTTTTGGGTCACAGAAACTGTGGATAACTGAAACTGCAGATATTGAATAAGTGAATATGGGAGTTCTACTGTACTGTATGCTATTCAGCCAGGTTGTGATGGCAATATGGACCTGTAGGCTTATAGCAGCAACAGCCTGGTTGACCAGGCTGTTGCTGGTCAAAACTTACTCATTATATTTTGTAATATACAGGCATGTTATACTCTAGCACCAATTGTCATTTCTTGTACAAATTTTTATCCTTGGAAATATTAGGAAAAATAATACATTTATTTTGGCATGAGCAGCACATCAGAGCTAGTACTGACTCATGTAATGCACTTGGCGAATCACAGCAGCATTAACAAAGATGCATTGTGCATCAACAAAGGTGTGTTATTTCCCTATCTGCCACTGGCCAAGTAAGGTTAAGTTATATTAGGTTATTTAAAGTTGGGTTACATTGAGTTTTTTAGGTTTGTTTACATTTCTTGCCATTTCCACAAAATGAAAGTATATCCAAGGTATAACCCTCCTTGTCCTTGTTCTCAGATCCATGTAGAAAAATTCCTCTCCATTTCTACTATGTAGATCTTGTTGCACAGAAACATGGAGCAGTGTACACTCCAGCATCACTGTTGGGATTATCAGAGGTATCTTTATTCCCAGTGAGGTTTCTGATGGAAAACATTGCCATGGTAGCTACATGGATGGTGCTTCTTGAAAGGGCCCATGTGGTGTTGGTCATTCCAGTCAGGAATCTGGCTTTCTTGGTGGTGGCATTATTGGTAGAGTTGAGTATATTCATAACTGCATTTGCAAACAAGAGTTGCGAATATACACCAGAGCTATGTTGTCTCCACTATATATAGTAGAAGTCCCATATCCACTGATTCTGTATCCATGGTTTCAGTTATCAAAAAATGCCTCTTAATTTTGCATAATAATGGCCCCAAAGTGCAGAAGTAGAGAAGCTGGCAGTTCTTTAAAGCCTAAGAGAAACCGTAAAGTGCTTCCGATCAGTGAAAGATTGATAATTCTCCACTTATTGTGCATAATTTAACAATTAAACTTTATAATAGGTATGAGTTTGCTACTATCCATAGTTTCAGTATCCACGGCAGGTCCTTGGAACATACCCCCTGCGGATACGGGGATTCTACTGTATAGTGTGTTCTCTCATTCTCTTGTACCATTTAGTGACCAAAATGTATCCAATAATTGTCCTAATTGTATGCACTTCTGTCTTTTCATCCATATTGTTAGTATTATTATACCTTTTATCTTCAATAATGACTGGCCAGGTCAACAAGAAAGCCTAACCTCAGGCCAGGTGAGAGGTAGAAAAACTTGAAATTGGTCACAGGTATTTATGGTTGGTTTGAAAAGAATGTGTTTTATGTATTCACCATTTGAATTAGTTTGTAACTAGTACACCTCTGGATGGGATGAGAAATGTTCATATGCTTATATCAAATGTTTTTGTATTTCTCAAAAACAGTTGAACACACTTTCAGCTTTGGTCATTTTACAAAGTACATAATTACTTTACTATTGTAGCAAAAACTTTCAATACAAAAAGCCACTTGCCTTGAACTTTTAAATAATTATTGAGTTATTATGTAAGTCTCTTCCATTCCAAGATAAAATGCTTGTAAATATTTTAATACAGATTGAAATTTAAACCAAAATTTGTAGACAAGAAATGTATCTTTGCCTGCTATATAGATACTAATAATATTTCTCTGGTTCTAGTATTCATTACCAACTCCTAAGGGTGGTAAACATGGAAGGAACCCCATACTAGTAGAAGATCAACGAGAAGCTAAAAGGTTTTCTAGTAAGATGAGCTGGAATAAGATTAATCCTTTACATGAAGATTATAATCCAGGTGAGTGTTATTTATCATTTTGTCAAATGCTGAAATAAATATCTAACTTTGAATTATGTCAACATTGAAGAGTTCTTGCTATCTCAACAACACAAGAATGAAAGCAGGACCAAATGTCATCTAGTTAGAATTGTTTCTTGTGGTGAATGTAGCACCCAGTAGCAACAGAAGAGCTCATAACTTTTCCTGAATAGAGAATTAAGTGTTTGCTCTTTCGTAAGTTGAGTGGGGATGTGTTTAGGGGTTCACAACTTGATTGTGATGTGTCTGCTTTTTGGGAAAGATAGCCAGGAATAAAGTGTTGATTTTGTTTTTTTATTATTTTGGGTCGTCTCACCTTGATGGGAAATAGCTGATGTTACCCCCTCAAAAAAAAAAAAAAATTATTCATCTGCAATATGCAGGCATTGCACTTGTTAATTCAGAACCTCAAATCTGGCTAACCAGTTTTCCCTGAATCTTTTGATAGATATTATGCACACATTTCAATAACACATCAAACCCCCAGATTACTTACCTCCACTCATTTCAATCTCTAACATGCTCATAAGCAGCTCAGCGTATCAATAACTCTTTCAACATTTCTGTGGACATTCCCTACACCACCTTCACCCTGCATTGGAGCTGTCTTTGTCAGTGAGGGGCTTTTGGTCCAAAACTTTTTTCCTTTCTTGACCTCTGAGTTTAGCACTTTTCAGTATATATAGTAATGGTTATATACCACTTTCAGTACATGACCAACTCATCTCAACAGCCCATCTACTCTTTAAAGCATTTCTTTTATAATAATACCTTTCATTAACACCACAACAGCTTCTAATTTCTTTCTTTTTCATCATAATGTTCACACCATACAGTACATTGATCTCTGATAAAACATCTCCACTGCCTTAAGTCTCTTCTCTGCACCATTCTTTATATCCATTCATTATTATTATTTATTTTTAGATTTGTTCTAGGGAAGTATTAAATCTGAAGGGTTCATACAGTGCCTGGAGAATGAAAAGGCAGTCAGGTTTGTTCCAAGGGAGAGGGTTATTCTAATTCTTAGGATCAAGAGCCCTTCAACATTAAGGCATCCCTTGAAGTGACTCATGAAATTGTAATGACATGATTGCAAATAAACCAGTGGCTTACACACTGGCCTGGAGTTTTACGACTCTCTGTACTCTGATCAATTTTTACTGATGTATCCATTGACATATATCTTCATACAGTACTTATTTCCATGTAGCCATCCCCCTCCATCCAATGCAGTGTTGTATGACATACGGGTTTAGTGCTTGTTTTTCACTAATAAAATTTATGCATGTTCCTCAACATTTTTGCAGTTTAATCTTATCTAATCAGTGAATTATAGCAATCAACCTGTCATGATGAAACTTGGTTTTCATACCCTTCAGTGACCTTAGAGGCTTAGACTGACATCCTCTCTTTGCTCGACCAATATGTGTTGATAAGAGGTGGGGACTAAGAAGGAGGTCTATGAAAAATACAATTGAACTCTCCTTCCTGTTTGGGAAGAGGATGTTGTTAGTATTTAGGGGGTCCACATGTTTGCTTTCTCTTTCATGGAATATTAGTAGACCTGTAAAATATTTTACGTGAGCATTTCTAACTTTTAGAGCTCATATCAGCATGCCTCGGTGGGATACAACTGGTGCATTGAGAAAAATATATATATAATTTGCTCTGACTTCTTCCAGTATTGTATAAACACTTGTAATAATTTTTACTTTCAGACCAAATGCCATTTGCGGTACGTGATGTGTACTCCCGTGCTGCTCAGTTGGGTTATATTGCTGGCAAGAACCATCACCATTACTACTGGGAGAGGAAGAACCCCAATCAGCCAATGAGAAGAACTGGGAAAAAGAAAGGAAAATAATGAATAAAATTAACTGTCGATGGATTTGTATTTAATTTCCACTATTTTGTATAAAAGAACTTCGATGTAAGTAATGATTTTTTCCTCTTATCTGCTCATATAATCATGAAGTGGAATGACCTGATAAAGAAATGCTGGATGCATGACATGCTTTTATTTTTCATAGCTTTAAAAAATAGTATGATAGGTCAATGAGGCTAGGAGAGAGAGAGCCTGGTAACAGCCATTTAAAAGGCAGCACAAGGAGCCGACTCAGCTCCTGCAATCACAAACAGCCAGAGGTAATGCAAGCTTATGTAATTTTAAATGTAATTTACTCACTATCACCATTGTAGGTTTAGCACTTGGTTATGATTGTAATAAAAATAATAATACTCATTATTGTCATCACATTAAATAAGCTAAGACCTAAAAAAATTGTGTTCTGACATGGATTTTTATTCCTTTGGCTGATATGAAGAAATATTTCATACAATAAGTTAGAAGTGAATCAAGACAGTAAACAAGGACTACAATAAATATAAAAAAATTTACTCGTACAACTGGGTACAGTATTTTACCTGAGGATTCATGTGCATATTCCACCATATTTCTATGACTGTATTCTCTCCTCTCATCTCACCTCCACTGCTGATTCTCCCGAGAATTTGTTTAGATGAAGCAAGCTTATTGCATTGATTTTGACCTTTTTTTTTCTTGCTTACCTTCCCTTGCACATGCATTTTTCTGTGCCATATCTGCTGTATGACCCATTTGGGTTTGGCACTTTTTTATTAATATGTATAACATGACAATGTAAACAAAAAATAAAATACTATACTGTACTTAAAAATAAACTACTCATAACATTTAAATTTTTAAAAGAAAAAAATGATACAGTATTTAAAATACATGTAAAAGACACAAGCATAAAATCATACTGTAGCAAAGTAAAAATATGAATGATAAATTTGAACATTTGTTAATGACAAATTTTTAATTAAGGCAGTAAATACATTACACATTACTGCAATTAATAACAGATATTTCTTTTACTTCACTAATGCCCCTCAGGGAGGTTCCTTGATACTGCTGAGAGGTTCTTGACCCAAGGACAGGGACCTGCTGTCCTTTTCCTTGGACTGAACCCGAGTGCCTCCCATTTCCAGAAGTGCTGTGTGACCCTTCTAGGTTTGGCACTCCCCCATGAATGTAATAATATAAACTGTCCTAAATTTGCAACAGCAGTCTACCGATCTACCTGGAGGGTGTTCCAAGGGTCAACGGCCCCGAGGCCCAGTCTCTGACAGGCCTCTCAGTGGATCAGGACCTAATCAACCAGGCTGTTACTGCTGGCTGCATGTAATCCAATATACAAACCACAGCCCGACTAATCAGGTGCCATGAGAATTTCTCATGATTTTGTTAAACTGATCTCCTGATGGTAATGTTTTGGTATCAATAGCTCCTAGTGCCTTCTCTATCTTGTACTTTCAGCATTTTGTTACACTGTCCATGCTGGGCTCTACTTTTATACTGGCAAGATTTTAATTTTGTGTGAAATTTGCCAAATTACTGATTTCTTATCACTACTGCATAGTTGAAATAGTTAAATGGACGGTTTCTTGTGCTCAGATGACAGGCATACTAGTGAAATAGCTAACAGTTTGGTCAACTGGAACAATGGAATTGGCATAAAATAGGACTCAAAGTGAGCGAAATCGCTGGTGCTTAAATATCACTGAGACTGCTAACTTTGCGATAGCGTAATACAGCCTCTCCTCACTTAACAATGGAGTTTCGTTCCTAGGACCACGTAGGTAAATGAATTCATCACTAAGTGAGGAGCATACTATAATGGTACTAGTGGGTTATGTCAACTATCTTTGATACTGTTTTAATGTCACCTTTGCACCACTTATAACATTTCTGGCATACATATTTTAAAATGTTCATACAGTAGTGTACTGTATATTGTAATAAACAGAATAGAGGAAATCAGCTCTAATATACATTATTTAGGCATGCAGATTGGTCAAAGAGCCCGTTGTAAGTCCGAGGCATCGGTACATGAATATGTCACTATATGAGGAGAGGCTGTACCCTAACTTTTCCATCAAATTTTGCATGTTTGGTGTCATTACCTTCGGAAAAAGATTCTATCATTTCATAAGTAAAAATAATTTCTTTTAGAAAATTCTTGGACCCTAAGAGCAACTTTCAGATCAGGGGTCTAGACCCTGAAAGGGTTAAAAGGTCTAAAGATGTATGTAGCCTATAATTATATGATGACTTATGCAGCGAAACCCCTAGACAGCAGCCAAGAACATTTTATTTAAGTTACAACATCAAAGTCATAACAATGACACTGATTACTGAAATATTTTTTAAGATTAATGTATGCAAATTGGTTTTCCAACCAGTATAATTTACCTCTTAACAAGTTTTCATGTAGTTATAATTATTATATTTATGGGAAAGCACTAAACCTGTAGAGGGTTATATAACACCTGGGGAAGGAGGTAATCAGGTTTGATCTAAAGAAGGGAAAGTAGCTTGTAATTCCTTATTTCAAGAGCCCTTCATCAGCATCAAGGCTGTCCCTGTCATTAATAAACCTTAATATTTGGCAAACTGTGGTATTATCATCATTAATGTGTGGCTGTGGCAACATGCATTATGTGATTTAAAATCTGGATATCAGTGGCTTAATGCTAATTCACATATCTAATGATTTTAACTTTTAAAATTTTTATTTCCTAATTCCAGTACACTAGTCATTTAAATAACTTAGATGAAAATAGTATATTATTTCTAAATCATTGTGAAAATACTACTTGGGTGAATTAATTCATACTATCACAGTTAGAACCAAGATGTAAACAAAAGTATTAAACTTAACTCAATTTTACTAATAAAAATTTCATCACTTGTCACAGAAAAATGAAGTTATTGTGTAACAAAGTCTTATGCAATACAATGCAACTCCATAGAAGTTATCTACAACTAACAGGTAAAATTCAGTAGAAGCTAGTTATAAAAATATACTAATCATCGGCTGTTTCCCACCGAGGCAAGGTGACCCGAAAGAGAAGAAACACTTTCATCATCACTCATTCCATCACTGTTTTGCCAGAGGCATGCCAATACTGCAGTTCAAAAACTGCAACATATTAGCTTTATTATTATTATTTTTATTAGGGGACTTTGGGGGGGTTGGTACAATTTCTAGGGGAGCCTCAGCTCCCCCATCCTGTTGCCCTTCCTTGGTGTCACCCCTGATCTTACTTTAGGTCTCCCCAGAATACTATGAGCTTTGTGCAAAATCTGTATGTCTCATAGGCTTTTTATGAGAATAAATTATTATTATTATTTTTATTATTAAGATACTTAATTTTCCCCTGTTAAGTTTTCTTAAGTCTACACAATAAGAAAAAAGTATTCTTAGAGTTTGTTTTGAAAAAAAAAAAAAAAAAAAAAAAAAAACTGAGAACACCAAAAGGATAATTTTATTCAAGATCCCTTCAAGGAAGATGCCCTCATGCTGAAGGGTTCTTGATCCAAGGAATTAAAGTTACCCTCCCATTCTTTAGTCAAACTTGATTTCGTCCAATTCCCGAGGTACAGTAAGACCCTGATAGGTTTAGCGTTTGTCCATAAATATATTCCTTTTATCAAGAACACACTTTCTTTGATAAAATAAGATTTATAAAGTTGACACCAAAAAGAAGGTAGAGCATTGATATTTATTAATATGTTATTATTATTGCATTTATGGGGCACTAAACACACAGGTGTCATACACTAATATTATTTATTATTATATTTAGGGGCAGTGCCAAATGTTTGGGGAGCCATACAGTGCCTGGGGTAATGGGAGGCAATCAGATTTGATCCAAGGAGGGAGGAAAGAGGTCTAGTTCCTTTGCATCAAGAGCCCCTCACTGCCATCAAGGAACCTCTGTTGAGAGGAGTGGGTACTGGCAATAAATTGACCTGTTTTGCTAAGGTAGAGAATAATGTAAATAATCTCACTTAAAATCCAAAATGCACTAATCCCATGGGTAACAATCATAGTTTTGTCTTTGGGGTGTGTAAATCTTCCTCTTTCTTGATGGAGTCATCATGTGGCTGACCTTGAGAAGTTGCATCATTATTGTTTATAGCACCATCAGCAGCATCAACAGTAACAGTAGCATCAGCAGTATCTGCAGCAACAGTGTCAACAGTAGCAGCTGCATCAACAGTAGCAGCAGCATCATTAGAGTCAGCGTGGTCATCCTCTTCATCCTCCACACTGTCCTCATCTGTAAAACAAACACCGGTGTTAATTACAGCTCCTTAAACTGCAGTATACATTAAAAGGTGAAACTTACTTATTTTTCACATTTAAATGTAAATGGATACTCACCCAATGAAGATGTGAAAATGGTGGGCAGAAAACATTATTACTGAAAGATTTTGTTTGCTCTAGTTGTCTCACTTTAATAAAAATAAAGGAAACAATACTGTACAACACCTAAAAGAATAAAAAGGCACAATACCGTGACTAGTTAATGGTCCAATTCAGATCAAAATGCCATCATAATTTTCTTTATCTTATGTGTGGGTTATTTGTGTATTGTACAACACCTAATAAACATCTCATAAAAAGATATGATTAAATACGAGATCATATACATAATGATATTGTTGCTTGTGGCTACAGAAAGTTTGAATTTATATATCAATGGAACCTACATACTGGAATATGGTTGCAGACTCTCTTAGAGAATTGAATGCCATACCAGGAAAGAAGTCAAATTTAATTTATTTTGATAACTGGTTCATTATTATTATTATATGTACTTGCAAAGAAGCACTAAATCTGTATGGTCATAAAGGTCATAATTACTTCCATAAAATAAAAAAACCTCAGTTCATAAGAAAGTTACACTATGTTGTAATCAAGATACAATAAAAACTAAAGGTAGATTATATAAAAACTTTCCTGACTCAGAGTTACACAAGAATAGGACAGCCACCTTCCTGTCTCAATGCT